ATTACTACCAGTTCTATGGGCGTGGCTTGGAGGGCATGGTGTTGCTTGATGGGCATGGCAGGGGAAGGATACTGCAAAATCCCCATCCCTCCCAATCAACTGGGACTCAGGAGGCAGAGAATAGATGGGGGCAGGGCCACTCAGAGGTTCCCCAAACTATTCAAAATTTCTGCTACCGATTCTCCAGAACTGGTCAGAGCCCGCTGAATACCACCTCTGATGCAAACCTCATAGGGTTGTTTTATGGGGAAAATAGGGGGAAGTAATATTAGGTATACTTGCTGCTTTGAATTGCTTATAAAAATAATAAATTTAAAATATATATAAACAGCAATGTTTACAGACTCTTTGTGAAAGTAAATTTTATTGTAATATTATTTCATTTTTACCATTGTTAATTACAGATTAAATCATACATATATACAACTTTTGAAAGAGAATGAAGTTCTTCAGGTTGATCACAAGAATTTAAAAACTTTACTCAACAGTTCCAAATTAGAGCAAACACGACTGGAGGCTGAATTTTCTAAACTTAAAGAACAATATCAACAACTGGATATTATTCACACAAAATTAAATAATCAGTGTGAGGTAAGAAGTTTATTTTATCCTTATAATACTTTATTATAGTGAAATTAAATATATGGTATATTTATATGGATTTGTGAGTAAATTAGAATTACAACATTCATAATTTAACATTTTAAAATATGGTCTCTATGTTTCTTGGCTTTAATTTATTCTGTTTTAGGATTTTATGAGGACATTTATGGGAGGACATAGTTTGAAACTTCATTAGGGACTGAATTTAGACTTTGATTCTGTAGATAAAAGAATATTTTCGATGGCTGATTTTTAATATCTTATCTGATCTTTGCTCTGAAGGCTTAGGAGCAAGTTAGATTAGAATGTGCTGGTGGTCTGTCTGGATGGAATAGCAAAACTTGCCCATTCACCCCACCAAACCCCAGCATCAAAGATAGGACTTATTTAAAAAACAAAAAGAAGATAGGACTTATTTGTAAAAGAGACTTCTAGTCCCAGAATCTACCTCAAGATGCCCTTATAATTTTTTTAAACTTTTTTTTTAAAAAAATACTGATCGTGTGTATTTTTTGCTACAAGATATTAAAACTATAAAGAGCCTTAATACATTTTCCCTTATTGAATCAAATATTGAATTTATGCTTTACATAAAGAGTTAAGATTCCTAAGTTTGAGAATGCCTCTAATGATAGATTTAATTCATTCATCCCAGGAAAGTTGCAGATATTTGATATTAAAACTTTAACTTAGTGTAGTGGTCTCTTGCCCTTTCCCCCGCTTTGCCATCTTTTGTCTTTCTCTTCAGCTTTCTGCCTTTCTTCCTGTGTTTAAGGTCATAAAACAGATTTCATGATCGCTATAGCCAGAAAACAAGCAATGTTTAATAGAAACAGAGAACATGTATTCTCTGATTCTTCTTCCATCTCAGTTGCAAGAGGGAGAATATAATTACACCACTCCTCTCTCTGACAAGAACATCTGTCTAGCAGGAGATTGTTAATGATGTGTGAAGAAGCACTCAGTAAATAATTAAAATGAAGGCTAAAAAAATAAAAGTAAAAGTTTGAATCCACAACTGTTGAAACAAGAACAGAGGAGAAGTGGAGAGTGTTAAACAAGGATTACTGGAAGAAATCATGGGTGGATGTTTCGTGCCAGCAGCTCTTGGTGCTCAGGAAACAATTCCCTTGAGGGAAAGATAGTTCTACAAAAATATAGGGAGAGGAAGATATATAGGTGAAGGGCTCGGAGATGTAATAGCAATCTCATTCACAGGGTTGACAGCTCATTGGCTGTTTCAGAGAACAAGGGTCCTGTGGAAGGAGGACATCAGTCTAAGAAAGAGGGAACCTCTCTCTTAGAAGAAACACAAAGTCCAAACAGGTTTCCTCTTTCATTGAAAATTCTCCCAGGGTCATGTGGCTTCTGGTGGCAGATGATTTGATCATTAGGAATTTAGATGACTATGTGTCTTGTGGTGACTACTTGGTATCTGCTGCTGACTGCATAGTGATTTGTCTGCCTGTATGAAGGTTGCAGGTATTATGCACTGTCTAATAGACTGCTAGATTTGCCTGAGAGGAGGCAGTTATTGTGGGCACTAATGGCATTCTTATAATATAGTTGGGAGGTCCTGGTAATTAAATTCAGATGGTTAAGATGAAAGCCAGAACCACCAGAGTAGCTTTCTCCCGAAATGCTACCTCTTCCATGCACAGGACCAATTAGACAGGTAGAATTGGAATTCTCAATATACAGATGAGATGTTGCTTCAGAAGGAGGATTTCCTCTTTATTAGGTATTGGAGAATGTTTGGGAAAAGCCAGATCTATATAGAATAGGCTCCATTTGAACAGATGTGAAATAAATCCCTTAGGGAAGGAGATGAAAAGAATTATGTCTGCCCTAAAGAGGAAATAACAGAAATAGGAGAGGATAAAAAGAAGAAAAACAACATTTTCCCAGTTTTCCTTGGTCCTTTATTAAACAGATCTTTGTTGATCACTCTGTGGATGTAATTAAATATAAATGAAGATCTAGTTTGTCAATTTATTCAATTTACAATCTATTCTTTCTAGGACAACAGAATGTGTTAGCATTGTTGGATTCTTCTGTTATCCCTAACAATAAGAAATCTTCATGACAAATAATCATTGTTTCATTCTGAATGTAACAATGCCTTGAAATTTTCCAAAAAGAAATTTGCCATATACCATCCCCACTGGCTATAATTTTAGATATATTCACTGATAGCCAAAAAAATGATAAAAGATAACAGAATTTGTAGAGTGTTTTTGGTTAAAAGAAAAGTAAATGGAGATAATGTATTTTCTAGGGCAAGCTTTTGTTATTTCATTAATTGTCTTATATAACTGCACTATATAAATAAAATTGGCTCAATATTGGCATTAAATGTTGTGTTTGGACATTTTAACAGTTGCTTAGCCAACTAAAGGGGAACTTGGAAGAAGAAAACAGACATCTACTGGACCAAATACAGACTTTAATGCTACAAAACAGAACACTTTTGGAACAGAATATGGAAAGCAAAGATCTCTTCCATGTTGAGCAAAGGCAATATATGTGGGTATCAATACAGGAAAGCCAGCTACAAAATCATAATTGCTGTTGAACTGACAAATAAAAATAATGAAAATGTTATTGGGACATTTTGTTAAGAACTAATGAAAAATGTCTAACTGACACCCAATCAGATTTTAGTCACATGTTTACTATGAAAGCATATTCAGTGTTGAATTAATTTGAATGAGTCTTACTCAGATTCTGTGTAGGCAATTCAAGAAATTGACAGATTTCTTATGACAAGTTGTAAGCAACCTGTTTCTTCCCCTGATGTTTTTATTATTATAATGAATAATAAGATTCTTTAAAATACATGTTTTGAATTGAATTGACTAAAGACATAAAGGATATAAAATGACTATTTAAAAAAAATACATTTATTTATTTATGTATTTATTTATTATTTTATTTATTTATTTAATAAATTTATAGGCCGCCCAATCCCAAAGGACTCCGAGCGGCTTACAAAGCGAAAAGAAGAGAAATTAATAAAAAAAAATAAAGAAAACAAGTTAAAAACATCACACATGCACCCAATCTGCCAGAATAGCCAGGTTTTAACAGCTTTTCGGAAAGCCATGAGAGTGGGCAAGGTCCGGATCTCTGGGGGTAGCTCAAAGGGTCAGAGCAACCACAGAGAAGGCTCTCCTCCGAGGAGCTGCCAGCCGACATTGTCTGGCTGACGGCATCTGAAGGAGGCCCACCCTGTGGGATCTCACCGGCTGTTGGGAGGNAACCCTGAGCCGGTGAGATTTGAACCGCTGACCTGCTGATCTAGCAGTAGCCTGCAGTGCTGCATTTAACCACTGCGCCACCTTGGCTCTACCTTCCTTTCTAAGGTTAAGAGAAAGTGAATTGCTCAAGGTCAGCCCAACTGGTTTTGTGTCTAAGTTGGGACTACAACTCATGATTTCCCAGTTTCTACCCTTATTCCTTAATCACTGGCTCTCAATCATATATTGTGTTGTTCAAATATGCCTCTATAATTATAGATTGAAATGTGGGGTTTTAGCGCAAATATTATCTGTTTTTAAGTTATGCTTATATTTTGTGATTTTAACTTACTGGTTTTGAAAGTTCACACATTTTGGAATGTTTGATACAAAATTTTAAAAGTTTTGATTTTTGTTTTGTTTTACTGAAAAGGTACATGCATTTAATATGGTTGTTTTTTTTTCATTCCTAAAGAATGCAACTCTGCAGGCAGAGAAGCAAGCCCTGAAAACACAGCTAAAACAACTTGAGACACAGAATAATAATTTGCAAGCTCAGATAACAGCACTTCAGAGACAGACTGTTTCCTTACAGGAGCAAAATACAACCTTGCAAACCCAAAATGCAAAACTTCAGGTTCTGTTTTCATCTATAAATATTTTCTCCATTCAAATGTACAGGTAGTCCTTGCTTACTGACCATTTGTTCTGTGACCAACATTACAATGGTGCTGGGGAAAAAAAATCTTAAAGCCCATTTACAACATCAGTCATGTGATCACTATTAAACTCAATACGCAAATCCTATGTTGACCTGTGGTTTCGTCCTTTTTTCCTCCCCTTTCAGAACAGTTTGATTTGAGAGAAACAAACTGCAATAAAGTAAGCTGTTTGCTCTTTTACACATTGAAAGCAATGCAATTACATCAGCAATGTGGGGGACTAGGAGCTGTGGGCATGCTATGGAAACAGATTACAGTACTCTCTTGAAATTTCTTTCAAATCTTTCTGGTGTACAGGGGGGACATGCCTGCAGCTCCTAAACCTTGCTGCAGTGCCATCCCATTGCTTTCAATACGTACAAGGCAATAAGTAGGAACTACAGCATTCCTAAGCATGATTAGGAGACAAACAAAAGTTGAGGTGTGATTAGTTTTGTCTCTTTCCATCTGAAAAGCATAATCCTAATCACTTGATTTTCCACTTAGCAATCATTTTGCTTTGTGGCAGAGTTGCAATCCCAGTTAGAGTCATTAAGCAAAGACCATTTACATACTTAATAGCGACTATCTTGCTTCTCAATAAGGGTGGAGATAACATCCATGCATGGGTTGACATTGTCCTTACTCTGATTGGACTGAGTCTGATTAATAATTAATTACTACCATATATAACCCGCCCTTGTGAGTAGCTCCACCCAGCTTTCAATTCAGTCCACTCTGGGATGGTTGTGTTATCATCGAAGTTGATGATATTTCAATTAATTCATAATTCTGAAAACCTATCTTTATCACCCTTGCTTCAATTGACTGTGACTAGACTATTTGGGTGGACTGCAGGGATCCCTATTGCCCATAGGCCACAGGGCTTTGACCCACAGGCCCATTCGCCAATTCTGGAACTTTGCGAGGGACATACCACTCACCCTCAGCACTTAAGCTGTGCGTTTGGGAGCCAACAAGAGGTGCTTGGGCAATTTATAGCCAATCTCGCAGTTTTGGCTGTGTGGCTTGCTGAGCCAGGGTGGCAGGCGGTATTTGGAGCGGGCAGCGGGAAGCCCAGGCGACGCTAATAAGACATTTGATTGTATGTTTTTTCTGTAACTTCCACGTTATGCCAATGCAATTCTTTCTCCTTCTTAATGATCCTACCTGACCCCAGAGTGACTCTGCTCTTTGAAAATGACTTTATACTTCCATTTCACAGAATATGACATGGTCGTACTGTTTTCAGACCTTGTATGTTACCAGTCTTGTAATGGTTTTATAGGGAATTAATCTGTCTAGGGCAGTGATGGCTAACCTTTTTCTATAGATGTGCCAAAACTGTGTGTGCTGGCCCACCCACCTGTACATGTGTGAGCAACCCCCACCTGCGCATGCGCAAGTGACCACCACCATTGGGGGGGGGATTTTCGCCATCACCAGGCTCTGGAGGCTTTCCTGAAGCCTGGGGAGGGCGAAAACAGCTTCTCCTGCCCCCCCCCAGGGGGGGGAGGCCATTTCCGCCCTGCCTAGACTTCAGGAAAGCCTCCGGAGTCTGGGGAGGGCAAAAAACTGCCCCAACAGGCCAATGGGAAGTTCAGAAATGAACTTCTGGTTGGCCTGTTGGGCCTGTTTTTCACCCTCCCTAGGGTCCGAAGGCTTTCCTGAAGCCTGGGGAGGGGAAAAATGGCCTCCCCCTGGTCCTCCGTAAGGCTGAAAATCAGTTGGCTGGTGCTTGTATGCGCGCTGGCGCTGAGGGCTGCTGTGATGGCAAATATGGCTCCGCATGCCACCTGTGGCATGTGTGCCATAGGTTCATCATCATGGATCTAGGGTATAAGTTTCCAGGTACTATTAGATATCTTTTCCCCACAACGTCCTAATTTTCTGCAAGACATCTACTTATCTAACTTTTTTGTGTCTAATTGAGAGCAGCAGGGAGGCTGCTATATTTACCTGATGGTTTAAGTTCAGTTAAGCAGACTTTTTCAATGATTTTTTTTCCTGCCTTCCTTTTCAAAGACCTTCTTATTTGAGGAACATGTTTGGTCACAATGGTTGTGTGGACAGTGGAATGTAGAATCCAGTAGTTCTGCAGATGGTCTTCTTCTTCAGTCCTCCTTCTGTCTTTAAGAATTCTTCCAACAGAGTAATTGGGGGAAATGAGCTTGTAGGGTTGAGAACAGAGGAGTCCAGTAGCTATATTTGTTGGCTTTGGCTTCCCTTCTCCTCTATAAATCATTTATGTAATGCAAACAAGGTGCAAAATTGTTCTGTTATCAAAATTCAATCTTCTCAAATTTGGATCCATGCTAGCTGGATATAGTAAGATTGATAGGTCAAAATAGCTGAAAGAAGATGGCAAAGAAAACATGTTTTTCATACATTAAAAGGAGTCCATTATGCATTAGCTAATTACAAGTTTTTTCATTATAGGTGGAGAATTCAACAATTAATTCCCAAAGCACATCACTTATGAACCAGAATGCACAGCTACTGATTCAACAATCAACCTTAGAAAATGAAAATGAATCCATAATAAAGGAACGGGAAGACCTGAGATCATTTTATGATTCTCTAATCAAAGATCATGAAAAATTGGAACAACTTCATGAGCGGCAAGCAGTTGAATATGAATCTCTCATTTCTAAGCATGGAAACCTTAAATCTGTACATAAGAATCTTGAAGTAGAACATAAGGATTTGGAAGACAGGTAATTCACATTGTGTTAAATCTAGCTAAATTAGGAAAGCTATAGAATTGTTTACATTGATTTAGGAAATAAAACAGTTTAATAAAAAAGAATATACTTTCTTAATTATTTTTATAATTTTATATTTGAGAATAGTTCTTATAATTTTATATTCACTTGACAGATATAGTCAATTACTTCAGCAAAAAGTACAATTAGAGGAATTGGAAAAAGGCCTCAAAGTGGAGCAAGAAAAGATGCTTCAACAAAACAAGAAACATGAAATGGTAGCAGTGGAATACAAAAAACTTGGTGAAGAAAATGACAGGTGAGAAAGCAATACTAATGAATTACAGATAGTCCTTGACTTATAACTGCATTTGGGATCAGATTTTCAGTTACAATCATAAGCTGAGATGGGCCTAATTTACAACCTTTTTTGTGGTGATTGTTTTTTAAGAATTTTTTAAATTTTTGATTAAGCAGACAAGCACAACACACAAAAAATAATCTTTCATTACATATTGTAGAAGTGTGTCAATTGGTTACAAATAACTTTTGTGCATCTTTTCCACAGTTATTACTTCTGGTTCATATCACATTGTATATTTTAAATAAAAAATCTTTATATATCTTACTATCAACATCCCACAATTCTCATTTGACTATAATTGTTTTAA